AATGCAGAGCCCTAAAGAGTATTTTAATGTTTCAATAAACAACATGAAACACGTTGACAAAATAATCGATTGCTGAAAAGCAAACGTGGAGTGGAAGAGGATTGTATTTGTCTTTTCTTCAAGATAGATTGGTCAGTCTATTTTCCAATTGATAGAAATTATTAAGTACTCGAGAGAAAATGTTCCGTTTTTATTTATGGGTCATTATGACACAATTAGATGAATGTAAGAATGAAAACAATTTTTCTTGGGTAGCAACTGGATAATGCCTGTAGACCTTGAAAATATTTTTTTTCTATTCTTCTTCGATTAATTGCCACTCGTCTTTTATATACTACACAATTAACCACACTTACATTAACTGATGCTTATTCATTGCAAATTTTTCTGCTTGACAACCATAAGAAAGAAAGAGTAAGCGTAGCTGCACATCTATTACCTATAAAACGTTAGTGAAATTGTTTTTTTCTCATTCTTCATTCAATCGATTGCATTTTATTCGAATCAATCTACGTATGGCTTCTGCTGCACAAACAACAGCAAATAATGAAAAGAAAAAACTGAACGCAGATCAATTAGCTGCTCTGAAAAAAGCAAGTGGCAACGATGACGAAAGTGAGCTCCAGAGTCAATACGGTCAGTTACTGACAATATATTGTGATTGTCTTCCATCTTTTTCATGTTAATTCAGTATAAATATTATATAGAAATCATGTAGCTCATGGAAGAAATATCGATGGTCATTCATTCTAAATGTATAACTCTAATCTACCTCAGAATTCAAGATGGATTGGTGAAAGATCAACAAATTGACAATAACAATAGCTAGAAGTTTTTGAGTTTTAATGATCAATTGAGCAGACTTTAGGATATTTATTTTTGTTCAATACTATATAAGGCAAAATTATTCTAAAATTCATCATCTTGGAAAGATATGTAGCGCACTATGAAAAACAATGCTCCACTTCAAAGAGGTTTATCTGATGTGAATGTCAAAATCTAAATTCAACATCGCTTTCATGCATTTTTCTACATGTTTTGCGGAAATGAGAGGTTTCCAAATGATTCGTTCTTATATTATCTATGCTAAAGAATTAATCAATTTAACAGAATCTCCTACAATCATCTGTTTTCTTTTTGCATTATCGTAGTGAAGTTCTCTATCTAACGAATAGAGTTTGATGTTATTTGATAAAATTCAATTTCTGGATAAAAAGCTTTTATTCATTAATCTTTTTGCGATGCTGCAATCTACTTTTTTCAGATTTGTTATTGATTGTGAGTTTCATAAAACTATTCTATTCTTATGCCACGTATATGTATGGTAATAATGCTAGGTTGTCCTACTTAGTTCATATTTATTGTAAATCAACAAAAAGTTAATATACTAATTAAATTCTTTTCTTTTAGAGGAGCTCTGGGAGAATTTTCCAAAAGGTTATTTGACAGAGGAAGAGTTCATTGCAAAGTTTCGTGAATCAGAAATGTTCGGCAAAGAGACGAATTTTAGTCCAGCAAAACAGTTATTCAGTTTGATCGATCAGAACAAATCAGGTATGTTATGTTCTTTCTCATATCCTTATATTGATTTAGATTAGTAGTATTCGTGTTGTGAGAAGAAAGTAGTAGAAAGGCTTTACCATCCTACAATCATCAAAAATTTTCCCTGGAGGATCTTTCTATAATGTTAGCTATTTCTTTAAAGGCTCAACTTCATCCAGAGCGACAGGATATGTACTACACATGTCAGAATCTGTTCAAAATTCATCTATGTCTTTGTGGTAACTATTTTTTTTTGTCGTCATTTTATGGCGTCGAAAGTCTGTATAGTCTTCGAACGGTGAAGAAATTCTTTTAGGATAGCACTATATTCTAATTTTAAAAGAATTAAAGTCAATTCTTTGCGATACGCTTTTGAATTTCCATCCGAACCTGTAAAAAGTGTTAGTCTCAAGTTATTATGATATTGAATTTTTTTTAAGGTTTTTTTTAATCATAGATCTGTCTGATGGATAAATTAAACAGATTTGTTACGTTCAATTTGCAAGATGATATGTTTATAAACATTTCAATGATGCTTCAGCTAAAGCTAAGAAAACTTATTCTTTAAAAGTGTAATGTCATAGCATAAGACATGACTGTCAAAGTAGTCAATCAATTCTTTTAGCTCTTTGTTAAAATGTGTCTGTACGTTGAATTTTAATAGTGTATATTATATAAAACAATGCACAAAATCATGTTTTTATTTTTTTTTAAACTTTATTAACTGTGGTACGAGTCAGAGGTGAAAACGATTCAATTTTTAAAGATTTAAATGGAATTGGACTCTCTGATTTTCATGTGTCTATGAAATAAATGAGAATATTCATTTTACCCATCCCACATTGACCCACACACCCATCTCCACACCCTCTTATATGTTGGATTAGAAAGATATTTCCCATAGATTGAAAGAGTCTGGTTTAAAAATTGAAATTCACTGATGTTTGCTGTTCGCTAAATAACTGCCAATGATCAGTTATATCATAGCTATCAATTATGAATATGTCCTTAATAACTGTCTACAAGTGTTGACATATTACCTTTAAGATCAGTAGTGATTATAAAATTGCATGATCATCAGGAAGGATTTAAGCAATAATTCGATCGGCACTTCATTGAAAGATACAATCACAAATAGAAATGAGCTTCCTTTGAAAATGACATGGCATGTCTTATAACACTATTGTACGACACATTAAAGTACGACACGAGGAGCTCACTGTGACACATTTTCTCCAGCAAGACTACGACACATTTTTCATTGGTTCTTTTGGAAAAGCATATTTCGATTTTTTTCAATTTAATTCTATTTAATTATTCCTATTCTGAAAATTCAAGCAGGTCAGATCCTGGGATCTGCCCGATCTCGAGTTGGTCCGGTTTGAATCAGACCATTTCAGGGTACTTCTCTCTCTATCATGGATCGAGATTGGCATTTTCTCGATTAAAATATGATCGAGAAGGAATCTAGAAAAAAAGAATATTTTGAAAATTTATCTTTCATACGTTCAACCGCTTTATTTATATATCGCTATGTGTGCATAACAAAACGGTGAACGAATAATCAGCAGACAGAACGCGACAAATTCGCATACGACACATCCTAAGCATGACACAATAATTCGCGACACATAAACACGACGCATTTAAATTTAGTGTGCATTGTGAAACAAAATTACATTGATCCTAGTTATTTTTTTTATTTGAATATTTAGACACGGTGGATCTGTTTGAATATCTGTTGGGATTCATGCTAGTGAGCAGGCAAGATCCCAACTTGATAATGAGTTATCTCTTCAAAATATTTGATTCTGATAAAAATGGCCTACTTAGCCAAGCTGAAGTCGTCGATGTATTGAACACATTCTTTTCCTTAATCGTTCGCAAGAATGATGATGGTACTCAGGAGAAACCGAACTATAGTTTGGAAGAAATTAAGAATGATGTAAGCAATGCTTTTGGTGACAAAACGAAAATATCCCAAAATGAATTATTCGAAGTCTGCGAGAATAGCCGTATAATTCAAAATTTTGCTACGCGCCTACAAACTGCAAATATGGTTAACATGATGGTTGGCGACTGTGTCCTTCAATAATGGTATTGATCGGATATCATTTACTTTCTCTAAAATATCTTTTCAAATAATATATTATATAATCACTCATTCTGAATACTTAATATGCTCGAACTCTTACATGTATACACTAACTAATTTGGAATATCTTTATTAGCTTAATAAATCTTACATAAAAGCTTCATAAATCATTCTAAAAGGGTGTGGCTGTGGGTGTGTCAAGCTACCATGATCATGATTTCGTTCTTGCTATAGGACTCTTCAAATGGCTTTGATAAGCATACTTGTTCCGATGATTCGGAATTCACGAACAAAGTATTTAATCTGTTTCATATCAAAGAATATCTAGGAAATTCGAGATAAATTAATTGAGGGTGTGAGTGTACTCTAAAAAATTTCCGTATCGTAGAAAACCGAAAGGGATTTGAAACCCTTTTCCGTTTCTGAAAGGGTTTCCAAACATTGAAAGCGCTTCTGGAATATCTTTTCTTGCTATCGAAAATCCAATAGTTTTCTCGAAAAGGGTGTGGGTGTGGGTGGTAGTGGGTGTGGGTGGGTGTGGGTGGTAGTGGGTGTGGGTGGGTGTGGATGTGGGTGTGATTCTTCTTTTAACCCACACCCTCATGAAATTCAAAATCGTCCACAGTAACTGTTACATAGTGCTTCACTTCTCTTCTTTTCAATTCAACTATTATACATACATGTTCTTGTTCTTTTCTTTTTCTGTTCAGCTGTTGCATGTATATTCTTTTTCGGCTTACCTATCTTTCTTCACCGACGTCTTCCTTGAGTAAGAACTATTGTCTTGATTCTTTCTATTGTTCATTATTCAAACAGACGGAAGAAGCCTCTCGACTTCTTCTTCAGTCTGTCTATTGTCTCTCTCCTATATATATACTCGCTGTTTTCTTCAATAAAGGGATCAAATATTCATTCCTCAAAAAAGCGTTATATATGTAACTGTAACATTGCTGTCTCGATTCTTGTCGTCTTCATCGCGATCTATATTTTCCAATTAATTATAAGAATTTAGTAGTTTACGTGAACCAGAGCAATTTTGTTTAATATGCTTGATCTCGAAAGTTATTATTTTCCATATTTGATATATTGAAAAGAGAGAAACTAAAAAAAAACCAATCGATGGTGTCAAGAGAACAAAATAAATCGAAATTTATCAAGATCAAAGTGCACTATTACTGCTTTCAATTCATTGATCTGTCTAGACTTTTAATGATTTTATAAATGATCACTGATAATGTTATGTATTTTTGAAGGTCGTATCGATAAATTTTGAAATAATTATATTCAAAAATAAGTAATGAAAAAAAAATTGTATTACTAAAGTCATCATTTAAAATAAAGTATATTAAGAATCAAATATGTTTTATATTAATTGTACTGAAACTCTTCCACTAAGTAGAAATGTAGGTCCATAAAATGGATCTGGAAATATTTCCTTTTTTATATACTGAGTAGTATTGCATTCACTACAATATCCAATCCATTTAAAAGAATTTAATTTATTTTCATTTATTAACCATTCATAAAATGCTTTACATTCATGCTCTTCATAACCATTATAATTCCAAAATTCATCAAATACAATAATAGATTTTGGACCTAATAGTTTTCCTAAATAATTAAATACTGTTTTAGTTGAAGAATATAAATCACAATCAATATGTAATAATGCTATTTTATCATTATTATGTTTATTGACGAGGTCTGGTAATGTATCTTCAAATATTCCAATTATGATTTCGACATTATTTTCAACTGTTGGTATGATTGATTGTTTAAATGCACCTTTTTTATTGGACGGGGTGTCCAATCTTCTGGCAAACCTTCGAAGCTATCAAATCCATATACGATACGATTAGAATTAATATTTTTAGCTATATAATTTGTAGTTACAGCTGTTCCAACACCACATTCAATGATTAAACCATCAGATAATATTAATTCATTTTCTAATACATATTGTAAAAATTTTACATAGTCGGACGAGGGTGTGGGTGTGTGTGCATGTGGGTCAAGAAAGGAACAACACCCACATCCACACCCACACCCACCCACACCCACCACCCCACACTCACACCCACCCACACCCACACACACCCACACCCACACCCACCCACACCCCACACCCACACCCGCACCCATGTTTCTCATAACTAGACGAACTCATTCATATAATTATATTCAATGTGAATGAATCATAAAGAATGAGGAGACAGAAAAATGGAGAAGCAATGCCTCTCACGGCCGTTCCGCATACGTAAAGAGAAATACCCTGAAAGAATAAATTTGAAATAAAATAGGAATGGCATTAAATTGACCGAAGAAAACAATAGTGAACGAAAAAGTAGCAAGAACAAACTACGAAAAAGAAATAGAGAAAAAAATAATCTCGAGAAAAAAAAGGGCGAAAAGCAAATAGCGAGTCGAATAAATGTCGAAGATATAACTAGCCTCTCTAAGATCTTTCAAAGATTTTTCAAAGTCTTGTAAAGTCTTTAAGAGATCTTTGAAAGTCTTTGGAAGATCTTCGAAATGTCTTTCAAAGTCCTTTAATACGGCTGGATGTGGGCTTTGTAAATGGAACGGAAACAGGTACCTTATAACCGGATCCTCCCGTTGGGAAGAAACACCGAAACCATAGTTCGGAAATGTACCGGAAACGGCAGGTATACAACTTGGATCCGGTTAGCATCCTATAAGACGGGAAACTTGGTCGGGAACCGAACCGGAAACAACAACCGGATCCGAACATTGTATCCGGGTGCAGGAATTAGCGGGAACTAAGCAAGGTCTGGAAGTCGGATCCGATTTTGGAACACTGCTTCCAGGAATTGACTGGAATTTCACAGGATCCGACCGTTTCCTGCCGTACAGTTTTGACTTGGGTTCAAGTCCAAACCCAATGATGTCAAACCCCAAACGTTCGAGTTTGTTGCATCTCTACAAAAGTTCTAGCTATTTAACTGTTTCATCTATTCAGGTAACTCAGAAGAGTTATTTTTAGCTTCACTATGTAACCATGCGTCTTGAAACATCAATTAACAGCCGACCAGCTAAAGTCTTTGGAACTTAAGCATACTATCTAACGAAAGATATACAAAAATTTTATTAGTTCACGTGGTTTCATTCAAGATCTGTGTTGAAAATGGGATTCGACTTTTTCTTAATATTCATATTTTTGTAGAGCTTGTTGAACTTCATCGAACAATAGAAAAATGTCTATTAAAAATATGTAGAAAAAAATATTTGGCTTGACTTTAACCACTGAACTATTAAAATCTTTTTTTGTCTATTTCAAAAAATGTAAAATAAAAATTTTCACTCAAAATCAGTAAAATGATCATAAGATTATAGTAGATTTCTGTATTTCGAACTATTTTTTTCAGATGACAGCTCTAATCTTCCTCTACAAAATGGCATAATTTGATCAATAACTTCATATAAGTTTGTTATAGATATCATCGATTTACTGAGGAAGGATCGAAACTTTTGAACTACCCTTTAGTACAAGTTAGTTTGAATCGATTGAACAATGATAATTGTTGCTACCATATTAGACTTTTAAAGGGTGTGGGTATAGGTAAATGTCTGTCTGAACGAAGACCAAACTCATAATCTCACCCACCACGCCGACATATACACTCATAACCGAATAAGCTTTCTTTCATTTGGCGAAGTACCAACACTCTTTACATTTATACATTCCCCACTAATAATTATTATTCTTCATGTTTAATTTAAAATTTATACAGAAGAAATAATATATTCTTGTTCTTTTTGTATTAAAATGTTGTTAAACTTGAAAATAAATTTTTAAAATAATAAATCTTCTAATTCAATATTGTATAGGTTTCATATTCAAAAGCAATATTTAAGAACAAACAATATCACAATTAGAAACCATATTTATATCTCTTCTTGAATACGAATACATATCACGTCTGAAACAATTTCGAACAACTCCTCGAAATATCAGTCTTGGATATGTACATCGTAAATCATGTACTATTACATGTTATGATTCACTTTATCTACATAATCATATTTCATCATATGCCTATCATTCATCAAAGCCATATCTGTGAGCAAAAATATAATTCGAAATCATTATTTATTATGGCAAATAATTCTTTGGAGCGTAAAACAAGACTACCAATTTATGAACTTCACCATTAAGTGGAATGAAAAATTCCACGTTATCCATAGATACCTCGTCCTTTAGCAAATCTTTTAATTGTTCATATTGTTTTATTTTTACTTTTATTACTGATGATGATATCACTGAATCAAAAGCGAATCAACAAAAAACATACTCGTCGAAGATTTCGATCATGTACATCATGGATACCTGTTCAGTAATGAAACAAATTTCTCTCTACTCGTATATATTATATATTTATTGTATTGAAAAAGAAAATAAAACTTTCACAATAAGGTTCTTTAAACTTTATTAATAATAAAAGTCTTATTTCATTGATATTTAGGAAGTGTCTTTCTTTTTTTGATTTACTTTTAAGAACATCAATATTCGTCGATGTATCTGTTAGGTTGACTTCTTTGCATAAAGAATTTAAATTCTAGACGAAATAAAATATATAATCGACAATAAAAAAATAAGAAAATCCTTTTTTGTTTACCTTGAAAACTGATTTTTCCATTACGATCAGTATCAACTCGTTTAAGATAACGTTGAACATCTTGTTCAACAGCTTTTGATGATACACCGAACCTTTCTTTCATTGGTATATAATAGCTTCGTAATTCGGCAATTGTAACTGATTTATCATTATTTTTATCCATTTGTTTAAATTCTTTTTCAAGTTGTTGATCCGTAAGACGAGACATTATATAATATACCAATGATATGTTTTGATGTTCTTTTTCTAAAGTAAATACATCAAGTAGGACAAAATGTAACATATTTATATAGAGTGTCTACGTAAACATATTTGACTTTTTTTTCTTATTTATGATTAATTTTATTTATATAGAAAAGAAAAAGACACACTGTTTATTAAACTTTACTTGTGACACACTTGAATGACTTTCTTTTCGATAAGATCAGAAGAAAAAAAATAACATGTCTATCACGTTTGGTACTAATAACGATGACACTAAAAAGAACAGCGACTTATTGTACATGCATAATGAAACAAATCATAAGATAAACATTAGTATGTTTTAATAATATTCAGTTCATGATGAAAATATTTATGTTTAGGTAAACAGAAACAATAACATAACTGAAATGTTGAGAATAGGAAAGAAAAAGAGAAAAGATTTGGATTTTTTCCATTTATGTCAAATTCAGAATTTTGAAATATTACGTATATAAAAACAGAATCTTGTAGATTTATGCAGAATCATAGTTGAATAATCTTTGTGCATCAAAACTATAGACTAAAAATTGTAATTCCGTATAAAATAAATCAGTTAATAATGATATTAAGCTGTAAAGATTAATCATGATTTGGTATTTCAAAAATATTGCGTGACATTTAGAAACAGATTCTATCATGTCTCTTTAGATATGGGATGATATATGTGTAAGATGCGCGCAATTCAAAATTACAGCAAATTTTTTTTCTTGATTTTTATGCATGATTGGATAGAGTATAACCTTTTACCTAGGAAAAAGTGATTCTTTAGATTTAAAAACGATTTTTGCCAAAAAAACATTTTCGTCAATCAAGTTTACAAAAAAAAGCGCCTATTTTTGCTCTTTTTAAGCAGTAAATCGGCAATTGAATTTGTCTATAAAAATTTATGTTAACATAGATTTTTATAGACAAATTCATATCACGAATCAGAAAAAAAGCATCAGTGGAGATTAAAAACAGCGTAAAAAAATTTAATTGCCAATTTACCGCTTAAAAAGAGCAAAAATCGTTTTTAAATCTGAAGAATCACTTTTTCCTAGGTAAAAGGTTATGCTCTGTCCAACCATGCATAAAAATCGAGATAAAAAATTTTGCTGTAATTTTGAATTGCGCGCATCTTAGAAAAGAAAAAGACACACTGTTTATTAAACTTTACTTGTGACACACTTGAATGATTTTCTTTTCGATAAGATCAGAAGAAAAAAATAACATGTCTATCACGTTTTTTACTAATAACGGCGACACTAAAAAGAACAGCGACTTATTGTACATGCATAATGAAACAAATCACAAGATAAACATTAGTATGTTTTAATAATACTCAGTTCATGATGAAAACATTTATGTTTATGTAAACAGAAACAATAACATAACTGAAATGTTGAGAATAGGAAAAAAAAGAGAAAAGATTTGAATTTTTTCCATTTATGTCAAATTCAGAATTTTGAAATATTGCGTATATGAAAATAGAATCTTGTAGATTTATGCAGAATCATAGTTGAATAATCTTTGTGCATCAAAACTATAGACTAAAAATTGTAATTCCATATAAAATAAATCAGTTAATATTGATATTAAGCTGAAAAGACTAATCATGATTTGATATTGCAAAAATATTGCGTGACATTTAGAAACAGATTCTATCATGTCTCTTTAGACATGGGATGATATATGTGTACTTAGATATTTTGTTTTTTTTACAAAACATTTGTTTTTATTCGTTATTATAAATTAAAAAAACAATAACCATTACATATATATGTAGAATTTTTTGCCTATAAAACAATTCACTACTTTTACATTTCATGTAAAAACAAATATCATGTAAAGTATAGTGCACGGAGAAAACAGCGCACTGTAAGTTAACTATTTACCGATTGTCGCAAGTGAACTAAACTCGAGTCCACAGTCCATACTTCACCAATAGTGGCTGATGATGTGAGAGAGCTTTCAAAAAAATGTCGTATGTGATTGAATTCATTTTTTATATAAATTTAATCGCTATTATTTTCGATTCTTTTCTTTTCTTACAATATTTTCATTAGTAAATGTTTGATTGGCATTGATTTCGTCTCCTGGAGTTTAGAAGTTGAAATTCAAGATAGTCAAAACACAATTGCTCAATCCTATTTAGTAAATCCTTTTAGATTTTAAATATTTGTAGTAACTTTAATCGTACTTTCTACTGTCAATTTATAAAACCTATCAAATTTACTTTGTATATGAAGTATTATTTCTATTAATTTCCTTAGAAAAGAAAAAAAAATATACATTTAGTATCGTATATTATAAGAGAAGAATTAGGTAAAATAATAGTTATTATGACGACAAGTTTTAGTTATATACGGTAGAGGAGAACAGTTTAACAATAGCATTTTCTCGATTCTTTTTTTGTATAATGTTAGGCATTTAATGCATTCTAAATTAAGATTTTGCAGATGATCTATGATAGTAAGGTTCCTAAAAAAATACTGGCCATAGTAGTTTTTAGATTCTACCAGACAAAACCACATCTAGTTTTAAACAATGTCATTTTCAAGAACACAATATTTTAAAGAAAATAAGAATCACTACTTTTTGTAGGATCATTCCTTAAAAAGTTAAAAGTATTACAAAAATGAAGTAAAAGTGTTTTGGTGTATTTTTCGATAAGTGCCGCTGTTTTACGAATTTGTTGATACTTCTAGATTTTCAAGTGGCAGTCGTAAAAAATGCGACGATCTTCATTTTGTTTAGAATTTCGCATTCTTGAAAATGACATCTTAAACATAACTATGACCACGTCGAATGCAACCTGAAAATAAACATGTGCAGTTTTTTGAGGAATCTTGCCATTATAGTTCATCTATGAAATCTAAGTATAGAATACATTAAATAAAAAACTCAATTAGCTTTTTCAAAAAATATTTACTTTTGAGCTACATGCCTCACACTATAGAAAAGAAATACCAAAACAAAAAAATATTTGTTGTAGTTGAGAATGTGGGTGTAGTTGTCACTATTCGAATCATCTCTACATCCACACTCACAATCTCAAGTCAATCTGGATGATTTGGATATAAAATTTGTTGACGAAGATCCAGTGCTTTATTGTAATGGATCGATGCCTCCAAAAAAATTACCTTCCAATTCATGAATAACACCAATATTCTTGAGTGTCCTTGCAATAGAAGGAAGTTTTTAACTAAGAGAATTTTGAAAAACCCTATATAATTCTTCATAGTAGTTCAACACTAAATCATAATCACGAAGATGACAATAAACATAGCCAAGATTTATATATTTATTACCGAGACAAAGATGTTTCTCAGGAAGTAATTGCTTTTTAAGATTGAGTCTCTTTTGAAAATAGTTCAATGCTTCTGAATATTTATTCTCCATCAAATAGACGATCGGAACTATTTGAATATTAGACAATCGAATTTTCATTCTGGCCAATCGACAGCGATACAACATTAAATACAGTTTCAGAAAGTTATACTAGATTTGTTGTTTCAGTACTTTTAACTTCAAACAGTTTACTAAAATATAATGATGAAATACGGCAAGTAGCAGTTGTTGTTCTCATGAATTTATTTGATACAACCGATAGCAATGAAATTTGTCGAGCAGTAGCATATGCTCTTGCCTATGTATGTAACGGACTAACATATAAAAGTTTGTTTGAAAAAATGATATTAGTAATGAGTAGCCTATGTAATGAGATTTCTATTGATTCTAATAATGTTTTGACTCAAAAGCAGCTCTCATAGGATTTGGTCGTGTTCTTCAAGATAAATCATTTCTACTTGAAAT